TACAGAGAGGAACATCGTATCCCCGAGGAGTTCGAAAACCGGTGGTTCACCATAATCTACAATAACTCCGAGGGTTCTAAAAACCGAGCGGTCAAGACCGTCCATCTAATCGCACCCGATGAAGCTATGTTCGAGCTCTGGACCACGACCCTGGAAAATGTTGCCCGATACCGCATCGGCCTCATGGTAGGCTTGACCGGTTCTGTGGAGAGCGAGGCCATTCTCAACGCCCACTGGCAACGAGAGATATCTAGACGTGCTTCCCAGGACCCTAGGGCTATGGAAGAGGACAGTCTTGATGCAGAAGGTATCGGAAATTTATGTCACAGTCTGCACATCAACTGCTCCAAGGAAACTATACGCATCCTCTTCGCTCGGGCTGACACCATGGGCACTGGAAGAGTCAACTTTGCGCAATTCAGGGAATTCTTTCAACTGCTCAAATACCGCCGAGACATTAAGGATCTGTACAATCGTCTGGTTACTGATGACGTACAAGGTATGACCCTGGCAAACTTTCTCGACTTCGTCCAGTATACGCAACGCGAAAACGTCCAGGAGAACAGGGATTACTGGGTTTCTATTTTTGAAAAGTTCGTCCGCAAGGCTCGACTGCGTTCACAGAGCCAGTCGGATGCACCTCTTCCTGATGATGCACCGATACGCATGAGTCTAGATGCCTTCTCTGCGTTCCTGATATCGTCCTCCAACGGGATCTACCCTTCACATGTTCCTGAGCCAAAATTCGATTACCCACTCAACGACTACTTCATTTCAAGTTCACACAACACCTATCTTCTGGGAAGACAAGTTGCTGGTTTCTCTAGCACAGAAGCGTATGTCACTGCGCTTCAAAAGGGCTGTCGATGTGTTGAAGTCGATTGCTGGGATGGAGCCGATGGTCGCCCAATTGTCTCACATGGGAGAACGATGACTACCAGCGTTCTTTTTGCGGATTGTATCTCTGTCATCAACAAATATGCCTTCCTGTCATCCGACTACCCTCTTATCATCTCTCTCGAGGTCCACTGCAACCCAGAGCAACAACTCGCTATGACTAACATCATCAAAGATACCTTCAAGGAGAAATTAGTTCTTGAGACACTGGGAGATGACTGGCCTGTGCTGCCCAGCCCTGAGGCCCTGAAGCATCGCGTCCTTATCAAAGTCAAGACTTCCGAGGAAATAATCGACACCGGCCCGGCTACTACTGTACCACCAGGACTCGTCAGCGCCGGGCGCAAGCGTAGCTCAAGCTCCCCCTTCATGCCCCCGACCGTCTTGGAAGACCCTCCTCACAGTCTCCCCCCTCTCTCCTCGCCACCCACAATCAGCTCAGCTAATGAACCTGTGCCCCCTCCTCTGGGCAGACGTGCCTTTACAGCAACAAGCGTCTGCAGCACCTCTGAAGAAAGCGACATCGGCCAGAGTTCAGCCGCGATCCAGAAAGAGAAGAAACGAGCTCAAAAGAGCAGAATTGTCAAGGATCTTGCAGACCTAGGCGTTTATACCCGTGGGTATAAATTCCATAGTTTCAACTCTGCCGAAAGCAAACTTTTCAACCACGTCTATTCCTTCGCCGAACGAGCATTCGAAGGCATTTGTCGAGATTCAGAAAGTAAAGCTCTTCTCGAGGCGCATAATAGACGTTTCTTGACTCGGGTATACCCTTCCGGCTTCCGTGTTCGATCATCAAACTTCGATCCAAACATCTTCTGGCGTCGTAGCGTTCAAATGGTCGCTTTGAACTGGCAGACATATGATGTCGGAATGCAAATGAACCAAGCCATGTTTGCATCTGGGACCGATCGCACCGGATATGTTCTCAAACCAGAAAGCTTACGATTGCCGCCACCTTCATGGAAAGGCCCTGGCCTAAAGCCAAAAGTCGATAGGAAACTTGTCCGGTTCTCAATAGACGTGATCTCCGCCCAGCAACTACCTCGCCCGAAGCAAATCGGCCTCGATGAAAACATCAATCCCTACGTCGAAATTGAGGTTTTCAGCGCTGATGACAAGACTAAGGGCCTCGCATTCGGTGAAGGTGGAATGGACACGTCTGATCGTAACGGTCTATCTGGAATCGGCCACCCTCACCGTCGCAGAACAGGTATCGAGCAAGGAAACGCTTATAATCCCATCTTCAACGACCAGTTCAAGTTCTCCCTGGAAACCAAATACCCGGATCTCGTCTTTGTGCGCTGGGTTGTCTGGCACTCTCCTGATGGCAGAAGCGTGGGCAACAACAGCACCCAACTAGCTACCTTCACTGCGAAGCTGAGCAGCTTGGCCCAAGGGTTCCGTTACCTACCTCTATACGACGGGAATGGCGACCAATACCTTTTCTCCACGCTATTCTGCCGAGTGACGAAGAGCGAACTTGCACCTGTCATTCCGCTGTTTGATACCGAGGAAACTAAGAATGAACGAAGGGGTATCCTCAAACAGCTCGGCCAGTCCGTGCTAAAGAGAGCCATATCCACCGAACGCGACTCGCCAAAGGCCAACATTACCTCAAACGAACAGTCGTGAAATCATCCCTCATCTATACCACACCGTCCCAACTTACTGTTGCCACATAAAACCAAAGTTTAGCGAATCTTTTCTCCATGAAAGCCGTTTTATCTCCTTTTAATACCCCTTCAGTTCCATTGCTTCTGCGTTGTGTTGCTTCACCTTCTTGATTTAAATTTACATTCTGTACTCCCTTTCCACATACTAACGACCTGTGATGACCTCTTTTGTTCGAATACTAGCGAGTACTTTTCCATCTTTTCTCTCCCGGTGGACCCGTTTTCCCCCCCACTTTCCTCTTGTCCCCTTTCCTTTCTTTTTTTTTTTTTCCTTTGTGTTTTACTTATACCACTTTGTTTGTCAAGGAATGTGGAATGCCCCCTTACCATTTCATCTAAAGCATTTGTTGGGGCATGGTATATGTGACCTGATATGAAGAGAGCCGGCCTCCTAGGTTTATTGAGTTGTCCTTTTTGTCTTGATGCTTGATATTATTTTTTTTTGTTTGATATGGAAATGGAAATGTGCATTGAATGGGATGTCATAAATATTATTGCTCTGGGACATGGGATGGATGGATTATCTGGGTCTAGAACGAATGGTGCTGTCTTTATTTCTATCATTCATATATGGGTTACCTGAAATAGGTCGATGCATATATCAATGTCAATATAAATATTATTAGTATTTATTAAATTATTTCTTACAATTTATGCGTGGTAAAGTAGGTCAGAATATTCAAGAAGTTATCATCTTATTATAGCCTAAGTAATCAACTATGAACGAAGAGTAAGAAACGAGAGCAGCGAAGCAAGAGGGCTTCAAGTGTATAATGTGTAAATCGCAGAATTACCACGAAACAAGACATCAATGATAGACAGTTTCTTTGGGGAGGATAATAATAAGAATATTCTGTCAACTTTCATAACAAACTCCCTAATGGCGCCGCAGCTAGTGCCGCTGGCTGGGTCAGATCGGTTTCTCCGGGCAGTGGGATACCAAGGACCCTTTTGATGACATTGATCGGCGCATGATCTCGAGTTGTCTCCATGATATGGCACCAGGTAACGCGGATGGCCAATATTCCGGAAGCTTTTAGAGGCGGTTCTCGTTCAAATTCAAATAGGAGTTCGCCTCCGTTCTGTCTTGGGCTACCTGCTTTGAAAGCGTCTCCCTTGAAAAGGCGCTTGAGGCCCTGCTTGATACCTGACAACATCAAGGAAAAATCGGACCGTCCAGAGAAACTTGGAGCATCCTTGCCAACCTGGAGGTTGCGTCTCATGGCAAAGATGCGGAACAATTCTGTGGTTGGGTCGGAGTAGACAGCAAAAGGGCACCTTGTAATGGCTCTGTACTGATCTATCAGGGTATGCGAGCCGCATCCAATGATCACTATCTTGCAACCGGCTGGAAGATCCTGGTCCGGGTTCGGGAATGCTGCTGAGAGGGAGCGAACATACTCTTGACAATGCTGCGTATCTTAGTCAGTAGACATAACTATATGTATATCTAAATAGACAGGGCTTCAAAACGGCGTCTGGGTAGTTAAACTTACGCCGCAAAAGAAGTGCCGAATAAAGATGGCCATGATTTTATTTGTTGTCGGTGTTCGCAGCTCATCCAACAAGTCTCCAAACGCGGTAGCTTCACCGGCACCATTGTACATGTTCACCGAGCGAGATCTCTGAATAACCCCAAGGTCATGCATCATGTTCGAATGGTTGTTGATAAGGGGGTTTGGATTTAGGATCTGGACCTCTCCGGCGTGCACAGGCGAGCCTTCTGCAGGCCTCGGGATTTCCGGCACCCCAGCGCCAACCCTGTCGATGCCCGTTACCGCGACCCCGGTGAAGATGACTCCCTGCGCCGCAACAGACCTCCCATGCAGCCTGAGGGTCTCTCGAACGAGGGCCGCTCGAGAGACCCGGGGCATTGCTTCATTGAGTTCCTCTCGGACATCGTCATATGGATTATTGTTCAGGGGAGATCCGTGAGTGTCGCCCATGGCATGCGACCAAGACCAGCAGGGCGGTAGGGAGGGACCGATCACAGCGGGTATGCTAGGCGGCCTAGGGAGGAGATGGTGACAGGGAGTAGAAGAGGAAGACGACGCACAGGAAGGCCATTTTCATTCACTTAAATAGGCATTGTTGTTGTTGTTGTTGTTGTGGTCGAGCGGCCGCCATAGCTTCGTCCCTTCCATGAGCTAAGTTGGACAGCTGGCCGCAGGCAGCTTCCTGCTGTTTGGATTCTCTATTCAAGCCTTTCAAAATTTTGACGCTTATTTGGAAGCTGGTTTTATTATACCAATTTTTATTGTAGGACTCGCACATAAAAAGGGACATAGGTATCGATATAAGCCTTGACTGGCCAACTGACTCCAACACTCCGGGTGAAAAGATGCTTTTGATATGCCCCAAAAAACGCCCTCTAGTTTTCCCTTTTAACCAAACAGATAAGAAAGAAAGTATAGGAAATAAGATGGTTCATAAGTAGTCCTTCTTCTTGCTCGTCCGGGTGTACTGTGTCAGCGCCCATTCAACGTCTCCTCCCGCACCTTTCTCGAGGGTGCCTCCCTTGATCTCAAAAAGTCGCATGGTCATACGGGGACCAACTTCGGCCAGCTCGACGTCCTGGTACCCTGTCTTGACAAAAACATGGTGTCGTACCTCGATGCTGTCCTCGATATTTTTGAAAGTGACCACCCTACTGCCGACTTTCCCTGCCTCCCGGGGAGGAAAAAGATGGGACAGAATCTGGACAACTCGTTTACCCAATTTAGTAGTGAATCCTTCGAATATTAGGTGCGGATAGCTTTCTGAGACCGTCCCCCTCGCGGCATTCGGTATATCAGCTCGGAGAACAACATTATGCAGTGAAAAGCTGGCGGTAGGTCCATGAGGCAGATGCGAGATCGTTATAGCAGTGGGTGTGCCTCGATGTTCATGTAAAATGACCATGTCACTGAGTGCCGAAGCACTTGCGCTGGCCACCAGGTCATTAAGCACTAACGTTCCTCGATTCAGCCGTATGGAAGTAGGCATGAGCAGCCGTATCTCTTTCGCAAACGTACTCAGACGGGAGGATGGGTCTCGCGACGTCGTAACGAGCGGCCGAGGATCAACCAGGCCAGAAGTGACCGCATATTCATCGTCGATATCAATCTCCTCTGCTGCTCCCTTCGCCTTTGGATCTCCCACCGGAAGGGACTCGTCGTACTTGAAATCTTCCCTCAGCCGCCTATCGTTCGCAATCGACGGATCCAGAGGCTTCCCCGAGGCCAGAGACTGCTTTAGCTTCGCTCTCCGTTCTGCAATCGAGGCATCTTTGAGCTGCAGAGCTTTGCGGTAGAGATAGTCTCTGCGCTCGCGTGCTTGTCGTCTCTGCGCCTCCGTCAGCATCTACCCGCAAATAGACCACCAGGACAACTTACTATCATATTCCTTTCTTCCCGCTCTCTAACACCCGGTCACTGGCTCGGCTTCAGCTGTGAATTGCGGATGGGAAATAACTTCGACGTCGTGATATCTTTTTTTTTTTTTTTTTTTTTTTTTTTTTTTTTTTTTTTTGCGTTCAGCGCAAGTAGCTCTCTTGCGTCACCGTAGAAACTTCGCGATAGGCTTTTTTCTCTTCCTCAACTCCAACTCCAACTTAACTGCGCCAACTAGTTAGTTAAACGAATAGAAGAGGCGGCGACGGAGAACGAGCAACTCCGTCAGATGTCAGCTCTTGCTTCTTCCTTTCTTCTTCTCTTCTTAGATCTTTTTTCTTCTTCTTCTTCTTTTTCTTACGCTTCTTGTTACAGCCGGGCTGCTGCTATTTCGCTGCGCTTTGCCTCATATCGGCGGCCGATAAGTCAGCCTCTCTAGGTCCGGCTCTCCCAGACGCCGATCAGGTATTTTTTACTCCCCCCAACCGACAGAGATCTCAATGTCTTGCTACTGTGGACTAATAACGGCCTGCAGACTTCTCTGGAGCATACTCTAGAGCTTCATCCGTTGTATCGGGCTGCGCGCATTGATCGGACCACTCTCCACTGTTTCCCCAGTTACCTATCGTGAAAGACCCAGTCATATGTGGCAGCATGGAAGCGTTTAACAAGATGGGAAACCATATGGTTTCTGACTCTGCAGCTACGATTAATGCTGGCGGTGACGATATCTCTACGGTGGACGGTGAAGAAAGTGTCTTGAACATGGCGGGCGGGCCTCAGAAACGAAGACATGACGATGAAGACGAAGCCTCTGATACTCTCGATGATGACGACGATGACGACCTGGAAAGTATGGCCAGTGTGGCCGTTGATGGTGCCGGCAAACCCCAGGCAAGCAAAACAGAGGAGGAAAAGGAGCTTCCCGCACACGCTTGCGGGTAAGTATAGATATATCGATACCCCCTGCTGTACTCGATTTTTCGAGGGTAGAACAAAGCTAACAGATATAGATACTGTGGCATACACAACCCGAGCAGCGTTGTCAAGTGCTTAACCTGCAACAAGTGGTTTTGCAGTGCTCGTGGAAACACGTCCTCGTCGCATATCGTGAACCATCTGGTCAGGGCTCGCCACAAGGAAGTTCAGCTCCATCCCGCATCATCCCTCGGTGATACTATATTGGAATGCTATAACTGCGGAACCAAGAATGTTTTCCTTCTTGGGTTCATTCCGGCAAAGTCCGATACCGTCGTGGTGCTCCTTTGCCGCCAACCTTGCGCGGCCATGCCTTCTTCAAAGGATATGAACTGGGATACCTCCCGATGGCAACCACTAATGGAAGACCGTTCATTTTTACCATGGCTTGTCTCTGCACCATCCGATCAAGAGCAGCTTCGAGCTCGTCACCTCAGCCCTCAGATGATTGCTAAGTTGGAGGAGCTCTGGAAGGAAAACGCCTCGGCCACCGTAGAGGACTTGGAGAAAGCAACAAACGTGGATGATGAACCCGCTCCAGTTTTACTCAGATACGATGACGCCTACCAATATCAAAACGTATTTGGACCTCTCGTCAAAATCGAAGCCGACTATGACCGTAAGTTAAAGGAGGCCCAGTCTCAAGATGGTCTCACTGTTCGTTGGGATCTTGGTCTGAACAATAAGCACCTCGCCAGCTTTGTTCTCCCAAAGTTGGAGCTTGGCGATGTGAAACTTGCTGTCGGTGATGAGATGCGTCTCAAGTATGCCGGGGAGCTTCGACCGAAGTGGGAGGGTGTTGGATATGTTATCAAAATCCCCAACAACCAGTCCGATGAAGTCACTATCGAGCTGCGTTCAAAGGGAGACCACAAGTCCGTACCTACAGAGATATCCCATAACTTTACTGCAGATTATGTCTGGAAGGCCACCTCCTTTGATCGTATGCAGCTTGCAATGAAGACCTTCGCCGTGGACGAGATGAGCGTGTCAGGCTACATTTTCCATCGCCTGCTTGGAAACGAGGTTGCGGCTGCCCCTATGAAGACTCAGATGCCAAAGCAATTCAGTGTTCCTGGCCTCCCCGGTCTCAACAGCAGTCAGATTAATGCCGTCAAGGCAGTGTTACAGAAGCCCCTGAGCCTGATCCAGGGTCCGCCTGGAACTGGAAAAACCGTTACATCAGCTACCATTATCTACCACCTCGCAAAGGTTAATGCAGGCCAGGTACTCGTCTGCGCGCCATCGAACGTCGCTGTCGACCAGCTATGTGAGTGCATTCATAGAACCGGACTTAAAACTGTTCGTGTAACTGCAAAGTCTCGAGAAGACGTTGAATCACCCGTTCGCCACCTTTCGCTTCACGAACAAGTTCGCAACAATGATAGCAATATTGAGCTTGTCAAGCTTAACCAGCTAAAGACTGAGTTGGGCGAACTCTCCAGTCAGGATGAAAAGAAATATAAGCAGCTTACCCGTGCTGCTGAGAAGGAGATCTTGACTAATGCCGACGTTATCTGCTGCACTTGCGTCGGTGCTGGCGACCCACGACTAGCAAAGTCGAAATTCCGCACCGTTCTAATTGATGAGTCGACCCAGTCTGCAGAGCCAGAGTGTATGATCCCGCTTGTTCTAGGATGCAAACAGGCTGTCCTTGTCGGTGACCACCAGCAGCTTGGACCTGTCATCATGAACAAGAAGGCTGCTAAAGCCGGGTTGAACCAATCCCTCTTTGAACGATTGGTTATTCTAGGATGCGCCCCTATTCGTTTGAACGTTCAGTACCGAATGCACCCCTGTCTATCCCAGTTCTCCTCAAATATGTTCTACGAAGGTTCTCTCCAGAACGGTGTCTCTAGCGAGGATCGTCTGCTCAAGAATGTCGACTTCCCCTGGCCGGTCGCAGATAAACCTATGATGTTCTGGTCGAACTTGGGAAATGAGGAAATATCAGCCTCCGGGACATCATACCTCAACCGCACTGAAGCTGCCAACGTCGAAAAAATTGTTACTCGCTTCTTCAAGGCTGGTGTTAAACCATCCGGCATCGGTATTATCACCCCATATGAAGGTCAACGCAGCTATGTCGTCAGCTCTATGCAGTTGACCGGTACTTTCAAAAAGGAGTGGTACAAAGAAATCGAAGTCGCATCAGTCGATGCGTTCCAGGGCCGTGAAAAGGATTTCATTGTTCTTTCCTGCGTCCGATCTAACGACCACCAAGGAATTGGTTTCCTTAGCGACCCTCGTCGTCTGAACGTGGCCCTTACCAGAGCTAAGTATGGCCTGGTTATCTTGGGAAATCCGAAGGTCCTTTCCAAGCATCCGCTGTGGAACTACTTACTACGCCATTTCAAGGAACAGAACTGCCTTGTAGAGGGACCACTGTCTAACCTCCAGACCTCTCTTATTCAGTTCAGCCGACCAAAGCAAGCCTATCGGGGCCCTCAGCGTTTCCAGATGTCGTTCAATCATGCTTCCAATGTTGACAGCAGCATGTTAAATGGAAGAAATGGGCATCATCATGATTATCATGATGCTGGATCCGTTGTGAGCTATATCCCAGATGATGTATCTTCCGTACATTCATCAGCTCTAGGCGGCGTCGCCATTCCCTCCGGATACCCTCATATGTTCCAAAACTTCACTGAATCCTGGCCTTCTGCCCCCAATAACCGGCGTCCAAACGGCTCTAGGATGAGAGGCGCACCAAGCGTCGCAGGCGAGTCCGTTGCAGCTACGGAGTCCGATGTTACTGGTAGTGTTGCCGATGGAAGAAGTACTGTAGGCCAAGGTGGAGTCAGCCTCTCCGGCCTAAGTATCCATGATGTGCAGAAGCAGACCAGTCTGAGTCAATCTGATCGTCTGAAGCGCTACGTTGAATCAAGCGGCCGTCCTGAGCCATACCGAGGCGGAACTGATGCTGGAAGTGTCTTTGGTGGAAGTGCTGCTGGAATCCGTGTCCCACGCCAGAACTTAGGGCATTCCGGGGATGATGATGATGCCCGCAGCGTCTCTACCGCGTTTGCAAGCCAAGTCGGAGGAAACTATGACTGAACTGTTCCCTCGTCTCCTGTCTACATATGCAGGGATACAGAAGATTGCACGCTGTATAGGTGATTATGGTACCACAGGCATACAGTACCTGCAGCTCTTACGCCATAGGTTATTCTTTCCGCCGTCATTTTATCACGGCTGCCACCTGTTTCTATTGCTAAACGCTGCGAATACTCTGCACTATACTTGAACCAGCAAGGTGCATTGAAAAATTCGCCTTTCCCACCCAATCCATCTGGTCCAGTTCTTTATACAGCGCCCCTGCTGTACCTCGCATTGGAAGAAATATCAGGAGATACGCCCATGCAGTGCCCCCGCCTACAATATTCCCTTTGAACTCGGCAGCATTCCGTTACGCCTAGCAACATCGACATATCTTCTCATCTATGTTGATCGGGTACCGGTAGATAGTAATGGCTAGTCACCTTGCGTGCTGCTGTTGCTAGGGATGTTCATGAAAGTGGACTGCAAAAGTCAGGAGTGGACGATGGTGGTGAGAACAAAAAAAAAAAAAAAAATGAAAAAATGAAAAACACAGTTTATTAACACCTGAATGTGAAAAGGAGAGAAGTTTTTTGAAACATGCTTGAGAAAAGAACGAAAAAGAAAAAAAATCTGAAAAAGCCCCATATTGATAATAAATTTAATAGATTAGGAGAAAATGCTGCGGCATTTCACCACACTCGTTTACCAATTGACGTTACCACAGACTTCTGAGTTTGACAACTTTGTAGATATAGGCCCTACTACTTTATAAGGTAAGGAAGTACCAATACTGCATTGTTTCTCAGGTATCTCAAGCATAGTAGTGAATAATTGTGAGAAATGTGAAACAAAATTGACAGGATTGATGATCAGATGAAACTTATGAGATGCAGGCTTTGGAAACACTATCCGATCCTTCTAGCTTTAACGTATTCCGCCCCCGGATCTAGGGCTATTTCTCTGATAGTTAACATCCACTTGTCTCTGTTTTTTCCTTGATCGCGAGAGTAGAAGTTTGTGAAGGCTCTGGAGTATATTGAAACCAATCCTCCCAAGGAGGAGGCACTGTTTCACCATCCGACTTCCTAGGCTTTGACGGGCTGTCTCTTCTGTCCCACGGCTTGCCTGTCTTTGCCCGAAAGAACTTATTGAAATCCTTTATTGCAGTGGATAAAGGACTCCCGACGGGAACTGTATAATCTGACCCGACTCTTCCTGGGCGGGTATATTTTGCAAAGACGGCGTATGTGTGCGGAGTACTATCGGATTCATAGAGCTAGGTAGGACATTGACATTAAGCAGAGATTCAGGCGTTCGAGCATCTCGAATTCGAAGGTATTAATATATTTAAATACCTTCAATATATGCTTTTCTTTTGCCTTGGACGCTTCAATTGGTCGGATCATAGTTGCCATATAGCGAATCCCGGCTGCGTCAGAGTATACATGATGACCGGCTATCAAAAAGACAGTCATTAGAACATAATTCTCCATATGGTATCAGAAGAAGAGTTATTTCACCGAGTTCCAAAGACTTTTTCACTGTATTTCCTGGTTTAGGAGTAAATGTTAGCCATAGCGCTACACAGCCTAGGGTCGTCTAAAGAGGGTTTTATATAGACCGTTTATCTGCTTTGTTTTGGCATCTTTATCCGCTTTTTTCTGTCCAGGCGATGTTTTCCTTGCCTTCTTAGTCAATTGAGACCATAGATATGGGCCTTCACGCTTGGGGCGTCGAGATTTTGACAAAAGAGAGTCTTCCAACCAATCTGAAGAAACTATTTTTAGCCCCTTAATGCGCTTAGCTGCTCGTACTGCAATGTATATTGTTAGTATTAATACGATGTTTGACAGACATGCCATGGAAAGCTGGGATCAAGAGAATAGCTAGAATGTATGCAATTTTGTATCTGCCTAGCGTACCAGCGTTGTTGTTCGCCTTGAAGGCTCCCTTTGTAGATAGCAAATGGGTGACTCCGCTGTTGACCTCCTTGGAGAAACTTCCACCGTTGGCTTCAACCCATTGCTTGAATTTATCGGAAATGGGTCCAAATTCACCAGTCACGCTCACGGTTATATTCTTGAATGTTCGGCCCATGGCTTTGGGTATAATTTGTAGCTTCAGTTGGGCTTTGATAAGTTGCAGATGGACACGAGGTGAAAGTGATAGGTAACAATTTGGTAGCTGAGTGCTAGCGACCTTATGTATTTCCGTTGAGGGGATCTGTGAGAACTTAGTTGGCTTCCTAAGGTATATCAAGCCAGAAGAAGCAGATGTATCATAAATGAGGATAACCAAGGAGGATTAAGAAGTCGTTGGATTCAGCAAAGGCATCACTTGCAGGATGGGCAGCAGGAAATAAGTTCGAATCATATATATTCCCCCTAGGTTCTAATGACATTAACCTCATCTCATTATCATAAAAGCATATACGTAAAGGAAGCGGTCCAACCCAGAAAAACAATGGCCTCTATCACCCGAAATAATAATCACTGATCTAGAAAGCAATCAACACCTTGAATTCACAAGGTGGTATTTCTAATATTTTTGGCAGCAGTGATAAAAGCCTTGATCTTTTCAACATCCTGTGCTCCGTCAGTCTCAACGCCGCTACTGACGTCCACACCCACAATCTTGTTTCCTTCCTCGCCAAGGGCGCGAAGAACATCGGTCACATTTTTATCATCAAGGCCACCAGCCAGGATAATTCGTTGTCCAGGGTCTTTCTTTAGAACATCCTTGACTTGTTCTAGCGCAAGTCTCTCACCAGTACCACCAGCCCCAGAGTCCAAGAGGGGAAGGCTGTGATAGCCTCGGCGAGAAATTCCCAAATCCGAGGGGGAGAACTTCTTGATAACTGGCACAGGGAGGAGCGACGGCCATTCAACGGGCTCCGATCCGTGTAGCTGGATAACGTCAAGGTCTAATTTCTGCTGCTGAGCCACTATATAAGAAAGAGGCTGGTTCTGGAATACTCCAACCAGAAGGGCCCGGTCAGGGTTTCTAAGGAGACCGGTAGTGTGGTCAAAGTAGTTGGAGGCAAGAAATGCGTCTCCATAGGCAGGGGGTTGGGTCTTCAAGGAAGAGGGACGTGGTGTGGATTTGACAGTCTTCGAAATTTCCAGAGCAGTCTCAGTGGACACAGTTCTTGATCGGCCTTCTGCAAGAATAATACCAATCAGGTCAGCACCACCTTGAATGGCTGCCTTGGCAGCAGTAGCAGATCTCGTTCCGCAAATTTTGACCAAGGGAGCGCCAGGAGTCTGGGCAAAGGGCCCGGGTTTGGTTCCAAAGAGCTTAGATACAAACACGCCAACGTCTTGAGCGCGCATAAGGGCCTCCCCAACAAGGACAGCTTTGACTCCATTTTTCTGATATGGTGCAACATCCTGCGGGCCTGAGATGCCACTGAGGGCACAGACAATGGTGGATTCCGGAACTTGTCCCATGAGACGGCTAGTCGTCTCTAGATCAACTTCAAAGCTCTGGAGGTTGCGGTTGTTGACGCCAATGACTTTAGAGCCCAGTCTAACTGCAATTGCCATCTCCTCAGGGTTATTGACTTCAACCAGAGGTTCCATACCAAGCTTTCGAGAGTAATCGAATAGTCTCTTGAGAAGAGGCTCTGCAAGCATCTTAACAATCAAAAGCACAGTATCTGCACCGGCAAGGCGGGCTTCAAGGATCTGGTATTCATCAAAAACAAACTCTTTTCGTAGAATGGCAGGACGATTAGGTATACCCTCCAAGCTCTGTCGGACCGCACGTAGGTCATCCAGGCTGCCCTTGAACCACTCTGGTTCTGTAAGCACGGAGATGACGCTGGCACCGGCCATGGCGTACTTCCGGGCTTGAGCTGGTGCACAAATAGATGCAGCAATAATGCCCTTGGAAGGGGAAGCCCTCTTAATCTCAGCCATAAGAGAGAGTGGGAAGGGAGACTTGGCGAGACGATCTGGGAAGGAAATCTGTGGAGGAGAAATACCAAGGTCGTATGCAGCCTGAAGATCCTCTGGACGCTGAGATGGGATCTCCTTTTGCACTTTAACTGCAGCTTGACGGTGAGCGTAGATCTTATCGAGGATAGACCCCTTCTTCATTTCACTAGATTGGCCGTTTGTAGATGGAACGGTAGCTGGGCCAGGGCAAGAGGCATTGTGCTCTTCCCAAGTTCCCCCTCGAGTCAGAAGGAAGTTTCGGAACATAGCTCGTCCATGTTCGGTCAGAATGCTCTCTGGGTGGAATTGAACGCCCTCGACGGTGAACTTCTTGTGTCTCACGCCCATGATGACATCAGGCCGGTTAGGATCACCCAAATCAGTAGTCGAGGAGATCTCAAGACAGTCTGGGATGGTGGTGGCCGATCCAGCCAGCGAATGATAACGTGTAATGTTCAGCGAAGCCGGAAGAGAGGCGTATACGCCCTTTGAGTCATGCTTCAATGGAGAGGTCTTGCCGTGCAGAATCTCTCCTGCGACATCCACCTCACCTCCAAACGAGGATATAATGCATTGCTGGCCCATGCACACTCCAAATATAGGTATCTTGCCGGCAAAATGCTGGATGGCCTCGTTGCAGATGCCTGCGTCGGTCTTGGGGTGTCCGGGACCAGGGCTGAGAACGAGCTGGGTAGGCTTTTCAGCAATCAGCTCCTCCAGCGTAGCGGCGTCGTTGCGGATAACCCTGACTGTGGCGCCCTCGAGAACGAGATACTGGTACAGATTCCATGTAAACGAGTCGTAGTTATCGATCAGGATCACATTGGAGGCGTTCTCCAGCCGTCCAGATGGAGTGGGGTGGTTTGGTGAATGGTCAACCAGCGCCATCGTGATAGCTCTCTTTCTGCTCTTCTGCCGGCTGTTGTGTCGGGCTTCAGCTGCGTCTGTCTCTGCTCGGTCTCTGCTCGGTCTCTCTCTGTTGTCGAAAGCGAATGCTATCTGTCGTCCTCCCGCCGTCCGCCGTCCCTTTATATAGACGGCGAAGCGAGAATGCGAGAAGACCAGACTCAAAGATAAGGCAGGGCGGCTTTGAAATCGGCGCTAGTCCCAGATAGGCATCGACCTTTGTTGACTTATTTTTTTCCTTTTGAGCTTCAACTTTTCGACTTCAACGCAAAAGAAGCCAGCGCCGCCTGTAGATTGACTGATCAATTAGCACCAGCCCGCGTGCTTGCCCAGGCTCGGATCTCTCCTCGGTCTCTCTCCCGGACCATGATATAGCTGGATGCGCTCATGGCTCCGCCGTCGGACGTCTACTTCCCATCGCTGGACGAGTGCTTTGGTGACAGCCAGATCATGTACGCATACCCCCGTTTATTAAAATCTACTCCAGGAATTGAACGGCATGCTAACCACAGGCGTAGATCCTGGAAAACCGCATACTTGTCTGTAGCAAGGGCAGGCGACCAGTCTAAACCTGACAAGAACATCTCCGACTTCCTCTCTTCCTCAACCGGTCTCCGCATCCTCTCCAACCCTTACTCCCCCTTCCCTAAGCCATCCAGCGCTTCAAAGACAGCATTTGAGTCGAAGACGGCCGCTATCCATGTCACGTCCTCTAAAAACAACTCAGATTCAGACGAAATAAAGTCCGATGCGCTATGGTTGAGCAAGGAGGCCGACATCGACGAGGTTTCCGCGTTGCGCATAGTCGTGTTAGCCTGGCAGCGCCGACGCGAAAACGAACTCCTATCGCATTTTTCTGAAGAGGAGCTTACAAGTTTACATGATGCCGTCGGGATTGGGAGATCGCCCCATGGGTCCTACGGAATCGAGGCCTCCAGCATTCTCAAATACGCCGGTTCGCAGTCTGAATCACCAGCAACGTTAAGATCCAAAGAAACAAGGCAGAAAATCTTATTTCATATCTGGTTGTCAGAGCGGAGGTACATACTCAAACTAGCCCATTTCTTGGTAGCCACATCTTTACGGGATACACGGCAAGATCAACAACTTGAACAATCATCTGGCTCTGGCGATAGCTTTATCGTGGGGGCCAGCCAGCTGGGGCGCGCCATCCTCAACGGCCAGTGCGGGACATTGAAAGTTGAAAAGACCGAGATTAGCATTCCTAGTTGCATTGAGGCTTTTCGGCTACGCGTTAAAGGTTTAGAAGCCGGCAGTTGGTGGTCAAATTCAGTCGAACCTGATGTGTTGATGGAAAGCTCTTGGCAGGCAAGTTCTCTTGAAGAACTTGTCCAGATATTGAGCCTCCTTTTCCTTCAGGTCAGGTCCTCTGAGGCAATCCCCTCGTCTGATGTACTCTTGTCTTGGCTCAGATTGATGAGTGAATACGAATTCCTAGAGACTATTCGTCCAGTAAGTGTTGGCCTCTATCTACTCTTGTCACACTAAGCTAACTCCAAAAAAAGTCAACGGAGGAGCAAGCAGCCATCTGCTCCCAGCTTCAGACTCTCGTATCTATAACAACGCTCTCTTTCCTCAAACTCCAGACCTCTTCTGCACGCTTGGACAAACCTGAGCTAAAGCCGACTAATGTTCCATACTTCTTATCTCAGAAGGATGTTGGCGAGATCAACGAGATATTTCTCAAAGCAGCCCAGGTTGGCCGGCTAACTGCAAGTGCCGCAGTGTTTTCCTGGGCAGTCATTATGTATTCGGTTGGAGAAATCGCCCTGGCGATTAAGGAAGACAGAGAGCTCCAGCAGGCGAACCACGCTGTAGAGTCATTCAACAACAGCACACAGTTTGCGACACCATCTGCTCTCTCCGAATCATCCATATACGAGGAAGTCTGGGAGAAGGCACGCAATCCCGAGTTTGACGAGGACTTTGTCAGATTCCTCGTTTCGAGCGCTGTTGATAGATGTCGTTTGCTGGAACTCATATTTGCTATGTCAGAGCAGCTTCGATCCGTCCCGAGACAGAGAGGAGAGATTCTGGCAAACCAATGGGGTCAGCTAGAGCTCTTAGACCTGATTAGATCCGGGGTTCAATACCTAGACTACATTCCTGAGCTAGTTGCAGCGGTTCTATGTATCGTATCTGAGCCAACCGAACATCACTGCCTAGACAAGGAACCAAAATTCGACGACGCTTACGATCCCCGAGCCGTCTTCCTAAACGATAATATTCTAA